TTATGGCTTATAATATTCAGTTTATTATATAAAATATATATAAAAGTACAGACAGTATTGTCGCAAGTACATATTATACTATACGTATAATTAGCGCTGATGTTTTACACTTACTGTGAAACATGAAAGGTAAATATTTAATGTCAAAATAAACCCAAAGGGTATAAAAGTACATATAACATATAAAACACGCGCGTGCGCGTACACAATTAAGCACACTGTATAAATTATTATATTATTATTATATTAGTAAGTGAAGCAAAGTATTGAAATTTTTTAAAGTTTTCTTCAAACTTGACGAACATCTTTTTAATATAACGATTCACGCTATGCTTTACTTACGCAACTGTTTATAAATATTGATTTTTTCTTTTTTTTTTCTTTTTTTTTCTTACCGATTTTAAATTAAAAAATTTTTCATTGAAAATCAATTTTTAATTAATGTAGAGTTAAGTTTAATTTATAAAATTTTTATACACGTACTAAACGGTTAATTTCCTCGACAAGTCACAAATTTTGTATTTTTCCAAGACTAATGAATCATTATTAAAATTATTTTTTACAGTTTTACGTTTAATATGCTCATTATATATTCATTGTTATAATTATGTACATATAAAACCACGCCTTTCCGGTTTAAGAGGCATTTATATTTTTTTTACGTTATGTAGTTATTATAAAATTGTATTAATTAATAGTTTGATATCATGTTGTACCTTTATGGTAAATTATGTATTTGAAAACTAGTTAAGTATTAAATGAATATTGCTAGCGAGCGCTGACATGAGAATTTAGATGATGGCACGCACCGATACTACTTTGATACAAATATATCACTACTCCCGTCAACAACGCAGTCTAGTCGTTAGATTTTACTTCTTCCGTATATCTGAATATTCAAAATGATCTCAATTTTTTTTATATCGTCTTATTCATTTAATTCATTTAGTATCATCCTCATGCTAAATAATAAAACTCCAATTTTTTTTTTATTATGCAACCGTTGAAGATCTACGATATCAATTAAATTAAATTAAATATAAAGAAGTAAATGCTATATAATTGGTACCCATCCAGTAATTAATCTGTATGACTATATAAATTTAAATAATGTTTTTTTTTATAATGTGTTTAATATTCAAAATTGTCTTGAATTTCTTTCTTTTTCAATTAAGATCCAATATTTTGCGAATGAAAATTTGATACAAAATTTGTAGCCAATATTTCGTGTAGTAGTTTGAAAGTGCAAAACTACAAGAAAATTTAGTCGAATTTATTGTATCTGTGAGCTTTTTTACTTATAACTCAAAGATTTCAAATCATTATGAACGTTTATGGATAAAATCGTTTGGTCCTTAACGATGAATTATTTACAGTAATCGCTTAATTCAAATTGAAATATAATTTGTGAAAGATTGACATACTAAAATAAGCAATAGCTGCTAAGATTTCTGATGATTTGGCCAAACATAAGAATATGAGTTAATCGTACATTATTATCCCGTATATAATAATATACTATTGTATTTAGAATGATGTGCTTCTTCTATTACGCACTCGAGTATGATTTGCTTGTTGTTTATTCTGATATGCAGAGAAGCGTATCGTAGACTGTGTTGTTAACGCAAGTATCTATTTGCATATCACGACACTGTGTTTACACTAATTATTAACTGCGTGCATCCTTGCATCGTCAGTCGCATCGACAAAGTATCGGCGCCTTGCCAAGTGGTGTTAAATACCACACAGTCCCGAACAGTATAATTTAAAAATATCCCCTTCAGAATTTTGTCGTCTGTCACATGACATTATAAAATTTATTACTATATACTAAGAAATGGAATGAGAAGAAGGACCTCTGTATTTAACCTTCTGTTTAACATTATTTTATACTTTTTATATAAGTTCCTTTATTTTATGGCCATTTCTTGATTTAAGTTTTTTTTATAAAACTTAAAAAACTGTTTATCACTAATCATCGACGAATAGTCTGTGTAGATGTGCACAAGTTTTTTCATGTTTTATTTATTCACTTATAAATATTATTCAAGCGAGCTTGATAAAACAAAAACAAAGAAAAAAACAAAACAAAACAAAAAAAAAATGAGTCGGTTGATTTGTTCGTAATACTGTCACTTCCAGTTACTGTTGAAATTCCTACGTTTGTTAGTCTCCCATTGAGCACACTAGCACGCTAATGGCGAAAAGACGAGTTTAAAATGTTAAATTAAGGAGTTAGACTATTTTGAGTGATTTTCAGGCTAAAAATATTTATCCTAAAGCATGAAAAACAATCGGTAAGACATTTTTCTCTTACACTGTTGCCAGATGTATCTTAAAAAGCCTGAAAACCAAAAACATTTGAGATTTTAAGATCCTTAAATTTGAGCGTGTTTCTCTTTATATTTAAAATGTTAAAGTCTGTGTGATCAAGATTTGATTACTTTTTAATACATTAATTTTACGTTTCTCATTTTTAATACCAAAGTTTATATCGATATGATTTCATTGCCTATTTTTTATTTATTTATTTATTTTTTTTTTTTTTTTTTTTTTTTTTAAACAATTGAGCATTTTACACGTTATTCTGAAAAGGAAATTTCATTTTTATTTATATAATTTTATTTGTAAAAAAAAAATTAAAAAATAATAAACATAAATGTTTAATAATATCGATTTTTATTGCAACGGATTATGAATTAATTTTACTTTTTTTTTTTTTTGACCTTGTGGTACGAGGTAACGAAATATATAATTATTTCTATCTATTCTCTGTTAGTAGTAGAATTAAGACTTATATTCAGTAATATTGGAAAAATATACGTAATTTTTGGGAACATCAAAATGGTCTAATTTTTTAAATATAGAAAAATAACATTATAATAAAAAATAAAATAAAATAAAATTAAAAAAAATAAAAAATAAAACAACAAAAAAATATATGCCTTAAGTACAAAAAGTAAGATTTAGAAATCTAATATGTAATAATATATTATATAGTTATTACGATCAAAATCAAGTTTTTAACACACACACACACACACACACATCAATTGCGCTTCTATACTTCATATTTTTTTATTGTGATACATATTCTAAATAAAAAAAAACAAATCATGTGGCATATGCGTACCAATTTATCGATCATAGGAATGAGAGAAGCACCGATATTAATTATATATATTGACATGTTTTTATATCAGAGAATATGTATCAAAATTAAAGCTCAGATGACCAAGTGTAAAGAATTTATCCAATGGAAATTGAATGAATAACGTATTTCAGAATTTTTAGTTGATTATCTTAATGTATGGATTGATTTTCAATATTGGTCATAGAAATTTTTTATATAAAAATGTCAAATCTAAAAATCACTTGATCATCTTAAAGTTGAAAGTTGACAATTTATTACTATTTTTTATTTTAATTTAAGAAAAGAACTATCCCGAGGTGATTATCAAAAATTTACATGCTATATGCAAAACAATTACTTATTAATAAAATGAACAAATGTCTAAGATACTTCTTTTGTATTTATCATGATAGTGATCTCAGTTTATAATACAGATAGTAAGTTTTTGTAAAAATGGGGAAAAAAAGACTATGGTCTTGTGTCATTGAATCATTACATCTGTCGATGAATTTAAAGTACCATATTAATTAATATATGAACGAAGGAAATGAAAGGTTGTAAAAATAATTTTTATGACTTGAGGACAATTAGACCAAGTTCGTACTAACAACAACAACAACAAAAACAACACAATGTATTTAGATACATAAAAAATAAACTTACACGTAAGACTTGTGTATTATACCCCATGTATTGGACTAGTCGATTTTTATTTTCATAAATAAAAGTGATCTTAAGCGTTCAGAAATTTTATGATAATTTTTTTTTTTTTTTTTTTTTTTTTTTTTTTTTTTTTTTTTTTTTGTTTATTTACGTTTATATTTTCTTAGAAGTGAAGTAGCTCTTTAATTTGTCCATTCGTTATTGCCAATGGTAAGATTTATAAAATTTTATATCTAAAAAGTTTTATTGTAAAAAAAAAGAAAGAAAGAAAGAAAAAGAAAAAACATATTGTAATAATGATAAATAATATTGAATAGTAGTATTAAGGCATAAGCTGTTACGCAAATAATAATTTATTCTCGCGGAGAAATTATTAATTTTAGGCAGGATAAATAATATAATTCGAGAAAGAGCTAATCAAAATTTACTATTAAAATTTAAGAGAGTACAGCCCAACCTGAACTGGGTGCTAGTGTGCATTAATTTAGATGGCGTTTAATAGTTTAAGCATTTATATAACTTGTTATAACAGCGCAATAATATTGTAAATTAGCTTCCACATCCATACGTCAATTGTATCCCCGCGAATCGTTAAGCAACCAAAAAAATGGAATAATAGAGTGGTGAATCGATAACGCGATCGTAACTCAATTTATAAATTTATAATATACTTGCTTATGTAATAAGGGCGCACAGTACAATAACATGGAAAAATAGATTATCGGTTCACCATAGAAATGAGGTGTAAAAATAAAAATGGAAATTACATTTATAATCATAAGCGTAAAAAGTTATGCATACTTTCCATTAAAATTAACAGCATACATATTTCAATATTTTTCACCCCATTTCTAGCATATTAAATACGTTGTTTTGCAATCCCTGTACAACCTATGTGATTATTTCAAATTTCTTCCACACTTTATAAATAAATATTTAAAGAAAAAAGAAAAGAAGAAGAAAAAAACCTTTCAATTTTTATTACAAACCTATTAAAAGTAAATATGTTGCTCGGCTCTGCTGGATACGAGAAAGAAGTAAGTAGTAATGAGAATTTTGAGCGTAAATATAGCAGGATGTTCTTAGAATGAGGATATATCTATTGCAATTTTAACCATATTAGAGAAACAGGCTATTAATTTTATTATTTAATGAGAAAGAACAATTTTTCCTATATAAAAAAGTTGAATTATTGAAATGCATCCATCGCCAATTAAAAAATAATTAAATATTTTAGAATATATAAAAATTCGTTATTATGTGAAAATGTACATTCGTATGTGCAAAAAGTAACTTCAAAATTATACTGGATATAATGTAGGCCACCGAAAGATCCTCATTTGTACAATATGATCTAATTCTAGTTATATCGATTATGCGTAAGCAGGTACTTGGTTAAATCGTTGAAAAATATTTAAAATTTATTTCCTTTTGAGAGTCTTATCTTTTTGAATCGTGATTACAGTGACTTCCTTTTGGTAAATTTTCTACGTAATCTCTCATGTATTCCAAAAAAAAAAATTTTGTCACATTAGACATTTCTTGTCTTTAACTTATTTTTTGTTTGTTAGGCTACTTGATCCCTAAAGAAAGAGGTGAAAAAAGGCTGAAACACGTTATTCCTATATAAAGCATTATATATTATAAACAATACATAAAGTAGTTAACAAGATTTTCAAATTACAAAATAATTTTCCACATACAATTCTTAATTTACAATATATTTTCTACAGAATACTAAATTTTACAGTTGACCGTTCGAAGTTCAGGTCAATTATTCTCTCTTTCGTTTAATTTCGACTAGAATATAATCGCTTTACTTTAATTTTTTTTTTTTTTTTTTTTTTTTTTTTTTTTTTAAACACTACAATACAGAGCACATATTATGAAAAGAATAATTTTTGTTATCGCAATTAGCAAAACAAAAAAATTTTATTTCATCCATGTCTGCGTAATACACTTTTGTAAGCCTAAAATTCGAACAGCCAATCCAATTCTATGGTTTTTTATGTTGAAAATACCTATTGTCAATTCTTTCGCAGAATGTAATGAGATTTGGATAGTCATGTACAAGTTTACCCATATCGTAATCTGATGAAAGGTTTGTTGTCAATATATTGAATAAATGTCCAAAAACCAAAGCATCCAGTTCTGTGGGTCTGTTGTAATAAAAAAAAATCATCGTTTCAATGATAATGAAGATACAATTCTAATAATTGTAGAGTAGTATACTTTACAAACATTTAAATATTAATTTTGGAATAGGATGAGGTCATAAAAATTTTAATGATATAATAGATTCTTCTGACGAAGTTTCTATCAATTCAAAGCTCTCGGCTCTATTATTTAATGCGGATTTAAAGTACATTTTATCAATTAAGGAAGCGTGCTTAATAAGATTGGGATACTTGTGAATGATTGCAGCTAATTCTTGCATAGGTGATGGAAAATTGGTTGTTGTCAAAATGTTAATGTGGGAAAATACCAAGGCATCTAATTCATTTGGTCTTAAAATAAAAAATAAAATCAATATCTATTAAATATTTATACGAGGCAATAATGATAAATGAAAGAAAAATATCTTACTTATCTCCGAAGAAGTACTTATTGCCTGCTAATCTTTTGCTCAACGAATCGCAACATTTTTTCACTTCTGCCAAAACTTGTTTCAATGATTTTTTAGCCCATGGAAAAATACTCAACTTTTTTATAATCTGATTTCGTTTTCGCCAGTTCATATAATGATTTAATGGCCACGGATAAGCAATACCATATCTCTTTTTCGTAAGATTATTATATGTATCGTCATGACACCAACAAATATATAACTCTGCATAATATAAGACATTGTTAACTAGCGATATATATGCTCTTAAATTAGCTTTGTCGTTGTCTGTTAAATGTTGAGATAGGCCTACGCCTCTGTTATTTATAAACGATACTATATTATCGAAATCCGATATTACAAGTGCCCCGCATTTAATAAAAGGAACTTTTCCAGAGGGAGTCGAGACTCCACAGAATACTCTAGGTTGCACATTTTTAAATAAGCTTGAACAGCTAAACAATTGGCATTATCAGGTAATAATATTTGATGCACATCGAACTGTTGATATAAAAAAATCGATTGAGGCCACACTTCTTGTGCTACAATAAAGAAATGAAAATTATTAATATTTTTTCAATAATTATATTTAGGTTAAGTACTCAAAAAAAATAGATGTATAATCTTAAAATTATTTCAAAATGATTTTTATTCAAATTTATTCACCTGCCATGGCATTTAATATATACTTTAATAACATTTATTTTAATAATAGATCAATTTTAAATCAAGCATATATTATGTATGATGTATGATGTTATGTATGCATTTTTACGTGATGTGTTAATGCATGTTTACGACACTCGTAGCTGAATTTATAGAATTTTAAAAAAAAAAAAAAAAAAGGTGACGTACTTCATTGAAATATGTTATAATATGTTGAAATACAAATGTACGTGAACAGCAAATAAGCACTTACGATGGATATCTATGTACTTTTCACCGCAAACGTTTACGAAATCTCGAATATTTTCAATTGGGTCTTCCTAAAATTTAAAAATTGTATGCTATTAATTATGAAATTACATTGAATTATATTCGATTTTTGTGTAAAAGGATAAAAGCTGTAAGTTACATCGGTTAATCCTTTTAAACTTGTATAAACAGAATTGAGTATTCGTGTTTGCAAAGGTATTTGTTGTTCTTCTGTAAGATGAGATTCTTCAAAAATATTTGAATCGGATGTAAACATAATTATTTTTAAATTTACAATGTAATTTAACAAATATACGTCTAAAATAAAATTAATTATATATATGCATACGCACAAACATTTTTATATATATATTACAACGTATATTTAAAATTAATTTCTACAAAATGAAAATATATACATAAGGCGTCTTTTTTCTTTTTTAATAAAAATTTGCAAAATAAATGAGTTTGAAAATTAAACTTCTTTTATAATCTGAGCTATTGGACGTAAAAAAACAAAATCTATGAATTCAGTTTTAAACATTTTCAATTGATATTATAATATGATTTTACTTTATTTCCAATTACGTTGTAATTTATATAAAAAATTAAAATCGAAAATCTCAATGCAAATTAATGATGAATAAAAAATAAAATATATTGTAAAGCATTGCGTACGATATTACTATAATTTAAAATCGTAATAATTCGAATAAATTAGCAGACACTAATGATATTTGTTAACACTTTTCTTCAACCTCTGAATAAATGAAAATGAAAATTAAAAATTACGCGTTCGAATTTAATCGTTGGACTGGCGCGAAACCGAAAATCAAATGGCACGCGCGAACCAATCAAAATACATGTTTTGTTGTCTGCGTGCGTGAATAGAGAATGAAACGTTGAATTTAAAGCTTTGCGAACACCATCTGGGTTTTCTCTCTTACACTCCCTAAGATGTCGAAGAGAGGTAAGGTTTTGTAAAATTCTTGAAAAATCCATTTTAATCAACTAGAAACGCAATTAAAGTAGTTTCACGACAAATAATTTTGAAAATTATAAATATTATTCGACAAATTAGTCCTAAAAGTTTTTGTTAAAGTGTTCCTCTTTTCCGCGAAAATGATTTACCAGATTAAAGATGATGAGTTTTCTTCTATTGTTGATAATGGTATTGAACGTCGTGTTTTTTATTTTAAGGACGTGGTGGATCGGCGGGAGCCAAATTCAGGATATCCTTAGGTTTACCAGTTGGAGCCGTCATTAATTGTGCCGACAATACTGGTAAGTTTGTAATTAATTATTTTATCGATATACATACGTCTAACCTAAAAAAGTAACACATGTAACACATGGTTATAATATATGAATAAAGATAATTTAAAGGGAAAAAAAAATTTCCCGTAGTTTTGTATTTTTTTTTTCATTTAAGAGCTGTTAGTTCTTGATTTATGAAGTCTATTTTGAAAATATTTACATTGGAACATATTTTTTAATGTCATCGTCAATCGTCTTATATTATATTTGTATAATCGTTTAAATAAAAAAGTTTACTTTTTATTTTTAAGTAATCGTTGATAACACGTTACGTTATTTCATAAGGATAATAAAAAATTATTTAAACAGTGCAATTTTTAATAATCGGTAGGCCGATAGTCCATAGATTTTTTTAAGAAATGAAAAATATAAAGAATACCGCTCTATTATCCATTTGAATTAAATAATGTATCAGGTATATTTTATTGAATTAATGATAAAATTTAATATCGTTGTCTTACAGGGGCAAAGAATTTATATGTAATTGCAGTTCAAGGAATTAAAGGTCGTCTAAATAGACTTCCTGCGGCTGGATCGGGTGATATGATAGTTGCCACGGTTAAAAAAGGAAAGCCTGAACTCAGAAAAAAGGGTAAACTTGATGAATATTTAATTATGATAATATGATTATGTGTATTAAAGTTCTAATTTTTATAATTAAATTAATAGTTATGCCAGCCGTGGTAATAAGGCAACGAAAACCGTTTCGTAGGAAGGATGGAGTATTCATATATTTTGAAGACAATGCAGGTGTAATTGTCAATAATAAGGGTGAAATGAAGGGTTCTGCGATCACAGGTCCAGTTGCAAAAGAATGTGCAGATTTATGGCCCAGAATTGCATCTAATGCTAGCAGTATCGCTTAAACATTCATGTATAAATATTTTTCACTTAATAATACAAATCTGGATGTTACGTCCAAAACAAGATTTAATGGATTTAATTTCTAACCAATACATAAATTTTTATTTTGACAACAAATATAAATGAATACTTGTAATATTCAGTTGTTAATAGTTTTTAATATTTTCTATGATTATTTATTTAACAAGCAATTTTATTGACAATAAATTAGTCATTCAAGGTATTTTGTTGTTAAGAGATCTTTTGATGAACATTGACCTAAATAACTGTCGAACCACAGCGGTAATTATTTTTTGTTTCCCTCTAGTTAGTAAATTTGAAAAAATGACTTTGAACATCATTTCCTTCTCAAACACGATATGGATGACTGGAAAGTTAAATGATGGTTAAAAAAAAATTGTATCTATTATAAATATACTAGCAGAATATTCTTTATTTCCAAATTTATTAACTACAATTCAATATTTTGTAAGCAAGTATATATTATATGCGACCATTACTAATTTATTAAGTATTTAAAGTATTTGTGAATAAACATTATTTTCGAATGGATTTGAAATGCAAAGCTAGACTGAATAATAAAATATCTATGATTTCAAAATAATTGTAAATTGTTAAACTGAACTAATGTTTCCAATCATATAAGTAAATTATAAATTAGCATTCCCTATAGAACAAATTAATGTTTTCACGGTAACGACAGATTTATTTATTACACTTGCAATAGCCTAGTAAATAATTCATTAGTTGTATAATATTTAGATTGAAAAAATTCAAACGAAGTTGTTCAATGCCTATTACTAATTTATCAAATCTTACTCCATTTATAAAAGACTTATTTCATAAATTAAAATATTTATCATATCAATAAAAGATTTGAATTTATTAAATTACATTAACTTACTCTATAACTAAATTTATATTTTTAAATTTTTATCAATCGGATGAATGTGTATCTATCTATATATACGTTTTTTTCATTAAAATATATATATAAATCGAGCGCCTTACCACTACTAATGCACATTTATACAATTGCTCATGTTTAATCAAATTATGTGATATTGGATATGTGCAGTGCTGTTTTTAGAGAAAGGAAAAACTAGAGTATTCAAGGAGCCAGAAATCAGTGAACGTCGGACTATCTTTTTATCCACAGTTGACCGCTTGTTTATATTTTCCATTTAATTCTTTTTATAATTAGTTTTTACGTTCTATAATAAATACATTCTCATTGGCACATTACTATGTGCAATTGTAAAAAGGATAATAATTTTTATATAACAAAAAAAAATTAATTTACACGAGATTAAAGCTTATGTTATAGAAATAAAGACGTTTTGACAATTGTTGTGAAAGAATTCAAGCTAATGAATGTAGATGCATATAATAAATTGGTAAAGTTAAAAAGTCCGAAATTAAGAGATAGAGAAGAGTAAAGTGTAATTTTGTCAACGTAAATTTTTGTTGAAAATGGACTAATTATTTTCAAAAGCTCACTATTCTATTCTCAAATGTATTGAATATCTTTTCTTCGCTGCATACATAGATATAAGAATTTTTGTAATTGTTAGTTTTTAGTAATTAAAAAAAAAAATGTAACAGTATCTATGATGTTTTGTAATTTTAGTTTTATTTTGGATCGATTTCCAAATAGTTATTTAACATTATTTATGAATTATACTCATTAGTATATAAATCTTTTTTATAATAATAATGATTAATAAATTTATTATAAATGGAAATATTATCAAAGTTAATGTTCTTTGGTAATGAATGAGCTTGCAAATAATAATATACAAATTTATATTTTTCCTTAAAGCCTATAATAATATTATTGTTAAGCAGAACAATTACAAAAAATTAAGTTATATTATTATTGCTAGGCATCGTTAAAAAAGCAAATTATATGCATCGAGACGGTTTCGTTTAGCGTTTAAATAGAAAAAACAACTTATATCGACTCTTCTTGGAATCCATTGGTAGGAATTACTTATTTTCTGCTTGTTTTTGTTTTTGTTTTTTGTTTGTTTGTTTTTTTTTTTTTTTAATTCAAAATCAAGTACGTATGAGTATAAAATGTATTGCATCGATATGACAATGAATGGTAAAAGGCTCCTAATAAACACATAATCAGACACACAATGGGAATGCATTATTTAAAATTCTAGAGAGGCAAAATTGAATATCCTAATGTGGGTTGTAATTAATCGTAATTTTAATAAAAGACAGGGCAACCTTATTTTAGATTTTTTTTTTTCCATCTAATGAATGCAATTTGAACTGACAAATTAAATAAAAAGGAGTGAAAACGGGATAGCGCGAGAGACGGAGGCGTGGATTTGGGAGGTGGAGGGGGTGGAGAGACAGAAAGCTAACAATCGTATAAATCATTTGGGCAAAAAAATATTAGCTTTTTAATATCGAGAGAAAAAGTAATCTATGACAATGGCAATGGCAATGGCAACAATAATTAACAATAACAACAATACGCATCCACGGTATAAGAAACCTATGACTTACGAGCGGAGAGTGTCAAAAATGTAAAACAATTCACGTAATCGAGAACGACGCCCATGGCAAAGTGTACGCGGTACTTAGTGCGTGATAAAAGTAGGTAAAAGCATTTTTTCGTCGAGCGCACCACCCACCATTTCAGGTGGCTTCCGCCAGCTTACGAGATAAAAATGTTTGTTCGAAGCGCCATTCACGCATAGCGCTCACTCCTTGCGGGGAAAAACGTCAAGTTCAAACAGAAGCGGGGAAACAGTCGGGAAAATGAGAGATCGCAACGGCGAATGAATCACGCGGGCGTTAAAGAGGGAACGCGGGTCTCCGGAGGAGGCTAAGGAGGGATGGCGACGGAGGGCGGAGGGACTGAACCGCGCGCTCTCTGGAGCATGCGATTTTCAGATTACATATATTCCCGCGCCGGCACGAGCGGACACAGTGTACCAAGCGAACGGAGTCCGTTCCGCGACGGCAATCATTTCCCGGCGGCGCGACGACTGCGCTTCCACCCGCTCCTGGCTCTCGTAGCTCCTTATCGCTCCATCCTCCCTCCACCGTCCCGCCCCGCTCCGTCCAATCCCATCCCCATCGTCACTCGACCGACTAACTGCACCGTAAGAGAAGGAAGAAGAGCGCGGGCGGCGAGGAGGTGCAGCGAGGCAGCGATCTGCTTTATCAAGGTGAATAGAGTGCGATAAGTAGGAGTTCGAGTCGTGGCTCGTCAGGCATCGCGAGCGTCGCCAGCGTACTCCCACGCGCCAGTAAGTCTCGACCCGGGGAATCGACAAAGCACCATTCGGCGATTATCTTATCGCTCTTAGGCGCTCGCGTACGCGGAGCGCGAATGTGCTTCGGCGGAGATATCGGGCTCGGTTTGTGCGCCCCGTCGTATCAACCTCTGGGTGTGTCACTTGGACTCTGTGCACCCGATGCGCGAGTTTACGACTGTACGAACGACGACGACGACGACGACGACGACGACGACGACGACGAGTGCTTGTGCCAAGGTCGAAAAGAATTATCAATGCATTTGCAACGTTATTATAATAAAATACGGAGATCGGCAGCATCGATGCTGGCCACCTTCATGCTCGACCTTTAATATTCCTCGATGCCTATGTTTGTCACACTTAATTTTGGGATTATACGAAAGGCATTTGCAATGGAATGGAAGAATAATAACAAGTAATGGCAGTAAAAAAGTTTTTAATTAATCTCTCATTTGCGAGATGAGCAATGATGGACTTTTATCGTATAAGCTGGAATTTTATATTCGTCTCGTTGTTGGGGCTGCGTGTTTAATCTCCTACTTAACGGACCCTTTCTATTATTCTCTGGTCGGTTAAAAAGTGAAACTTTATTGATAGATAGAGTTACCGCCTCGCACTGGCAATTACTGAAAGAGTATTACTTTAAAATGCGAAATAAATGCGGTTACGTGTAATTTATCAACAACGCCCAATCATTTGCTGCTTCAATTTTTCATTATAAAGTGAGGTTAGAAGCGTGCGACGATGCAATTAATAGATACACATATTAACAAAATTAATATGCCCGCGAAGCCCAACACCCAATAAAGTCGTCGATTGAATTTCAAAATTCAAATTACTTTATTGCTACTTATTACTTCCACACGATATCCTATCAACATACATTATTCAATAGCGTCTTTCACCGAGATTCGTATAATAAATTCAGCGAGTCCCTAGATCCCTATAATAAGCCGTGTTATGAAATAATTCAAATGTAAACATAAGTCTCGATCATTATTCATTATTTTGAATTTTAGTAGTACGTTAATGCTATTTTTAATTTTAGCCTTAATTTAAGTAACAATTAATTCTATTACATTATTTCGATAGCCTTACTTTGGCGTAATGCAGATGCATAATACACCACTGAAAAATATAACCAATTTATGAAGTACAGTTAAATCAGAATTACCATGTTTTTGAAAATATTTGGCATATTTTCTTCCTGAATTGATAAATTTCTATATAATTTCATAATACAGCTTTCAAACAATTGATGAACACTTATAGTTTTTCCTTTCTTCTTCTATTTTTTTCTTTCTTTTTTTTCTTCTTGTTGTTTTAGCCGATTAATTTTCACGTCGATCTTACAGATTATCATCGATGCCGTATTTCAAAAAGCAATAAATTCACAATATTTTAGAACAATAGCTTACATAATTTGACACTGCTGCTCATTTTCTATTACATTAAAATTTCACATTAAAATTTCACATTAAAATTTCACATTAAAATTATGATTTTCAAGGAAATCTGGCTTGTGACAAAATACAGAAGAAAATAAAAAAAATAGGGGGAAAAAAAAATAATAAATCCGACTACAGATATCTGTACTTTCTTTTAATTATAATGTATCGGTAATTTGTTATTGTCAATTTGTAACTTGACAACAAAAAAAAAAAAAAAAAAAAAAAAAAAAAAAAAAATCGAATGAATTAAATGCCGGGAATAATTAATATATTGACATATTTTCCGAGTTTCTGCTAATATTTGTCAACGTTACTTCGTTATATCCTTCAAAGTAATTTGCAAAATTAATTTTAAGCATTATTCGTAAATTTTCGTTTCTTTATTGGTAACAACGACCTCGTAAAATAATGACCCCTAGATTGTTTAGAAACGACTGATTAATTGTCTCGGAATTCAACTAAACATTGTTTACATAACATAAAAAATACTTGACTTGGCGGTTTTTTTATTTAAAAAAAAAAAGAAAAAAGAAAAAAGAAAAAAGAAAAAAAAAACTACGCTGATACGAGTGATAAAAAGCAACAGCACTTGCAATATACAATACTACTCGCATAACTGGAGCTCGTAAATAAAAATCTAATAGGTATGGCGATATATATATGAAGCGGCGTAGTGTCAAGAAATAAGAGCGAGCGAGCAAGATTTTTGAGAGGTGCATACATAGATTATAATTGTCCGGGATAGCTAGGAAGAATAAGAAGCGTATTTGCCCTCTTCCTCTTCGTCCTCATCGTTCGTGGCTGCGACGTAATGTAGCAGCTATTCGGCAGCGATTGTTCGAGAATAACAGCCTGAATTTTGTATAAATCGTTTTAGCGCCGTTTTACGTCGGGACAACAGGCATTCATGCCGTTTGTTTCTCCCATCAAGTTTACAATATATGCGTCTGCCCGTGTGCCCATACATACATACATACATACATACATGCATGCATGCATATATATATATATATATATATATATATAATATGTGCGCGCGCACTACCGCCCGCCCGTGGGCATGTATAGTGTCTCTCACGAATTTCGACGATTGCGTTGGCCAGTAATAATGAGTTATTCGAGGATCCGTCGCACGGTGCCGCTTGTGTATGCGCTTCTTCTAACCTCTCGCTTATGCACGTAGCGCGAGTACTCGTGTGTCGTTGTACGTAGTATGCGGGTGATTTATATATGCGGCGGGTTTGTTCGGGCTGATCGTTGGTTGTCGCGCACTTTCAGGAATTTCGAGGGTATGGCTTTTCAATGGTGAATAGCGGGGGCGGGAAGGAAAGGGGATGCGCGATTTGCCCGGGGATCTGGTGCTTTGACGCTTAATCGGTGACAAAGCAATGGAGCAATTTCATCGCTCGATCACGAGGATGGAAGGTACAACACATTGTGACACCAGTTGATGCGAGTGTGACAGCGTTGAGGCTTAACAAGTGGTTGAAGATATAGGTTTTCCATTTTACTTTGGCTCGCTTTCGAGAGGTATTTATCAAACGACTCTCAGCTTTTATTGCAAACGGATCCTTAAAATGGTTTATCTGCGCCAAGGAAGGCGGCAATCTCACTAGGATTTTCATTGGGAAGAAGTTTAATCGCCAATCGACCAATTTGTGATCGGCCAATTTAGCTCTTTTAATTAATAATCATAATACGTTTGGCAAATCCTTTTTAATTAATTGTCATGCATTATCAGATGTATTATACATCATTTTCAAACTCTAATCGCTCAAATGTAAAGAATCGGGCTTTACGGCTTGCGTTAATGGTTGCGGGAGAAGCTTTGAAACGTTAAACTCGATCAATGTTTTTAATTATATGCTATTTCTCCAATGTTGTTGGCATATAAATTTACAACAACCAGGAAATTTAACATTAAAGATTAAAGAATTTATTACAAAGACTGAATAATTTCATTAAGCCACGTTACCGCGATATTTCGAACGAACAATATTACATGCAATTCGAAATTAACGATATTACATTTTAATATTAATATATACGTGAGAAAATTATATAAATAAATAAATAATGGAAAAACCTGAGCTACGTTGATATAAAAGTTGTAAAAGTTTATTTTTAAAGTTATTAAATCATTTAATATGCGTATCAAATTATCTACCGTATCAGTTAATATTTACGCTGGTCAATGCGTAAATAGAAAATAAATAAATTTTGACAAATTAAATAAAATTATTTGCCAAGCAATGATAATAAACATTGAAACATTTTTTTCTTCTTCTTTATACTAAGCTAATATATCCTAAGAATAGCATGCACATACTTGAAACCTGGATTTTTTCTTTCATATATTCCTCAATTTGCCTCGTTATCACAAGTAAATTTCCTAAGTAAATTTAATAGATAAATTCTATAAATTATGTATATACATATATATATATATATCAATGTATTTGAGACATATTCAGCAAATCGCAAAAACAAATAAAACAAATGAAAATGAAATTTTTCAAAACGTAATTACACAAACTTTACTTTTTTGTTTATACAGATAATAGTTTTCTCTGAATTTTAAATATTATTACTAATAAATGTTAGCACATCTTATATTTTATGAGAAATTAAAATATATATATATCTTTATTCGTCTTTTTATTATAAAAATTGATTATTTTATAATAAGTATATAAAATATTATAATGGCCATAATTAATTTTTCAATTTAATTAAACATTATCTTTTGGACTTGAGTATACAATACCTGAAGAAACAATTACGCTTATGTTTTTAACTAAATAATCTATACTACATTTTATATTTCATTCTAATAATATGCGCCGTCCATCTTAATTTACGCGAATTAATTTGCTTTATGATATTGAATGATATCCAGAATTCATCCATTATGATCAAATTCAATTTCTTCTTTTCATTTATTATATATATATATATATATATATATATATATATATATATAATACCACAATACCGTTTAGTCAAAATAAGTTTATTAATTAACAATCAATACAATTCATAATTAATAAGTAATCTACATTTCAAATGTATGCACATTCAGGATAAAATGTTAATTATAAAAACGAGTAATTTAGTTTATTTAATTTATTTGAGATACCTTGATGTGAAAGCCAATATAAGTTATTATTTGATGTATTAGATGATGTTGATATATTTAAGAATAATATTACGTCAATAATATAAATATATATATATATATATATATATATATATATATTAATTTACTATATATACAAAATTTATGTCGCTATTATGAAAATGTCGCTAAATAAAACATTTTTAATATTTTATACAAAGTTTTTTTCATGCTCAGTATTCATTGATATTTAAAAATATACGGGATTTATATTGTATGGATTTGTATTAAATTTTCGTATTATTATTTTAAATGCAACATACGACTAAGTTTCATAAAATAATAATGAAAATCAATTATAGTGTAGGAAATTGATTTCTAATAAAAAAAAAAATAAAAAAAAAATAATAATAATAATAATAATAAAAACTTTAATTTTGAAATAAGAAATTCAATTGATTATTTTATTATACTTCCAATCACTCAGTTGCTGCAATAAATTATAAAGAAAAATAATAATAATAGTATGATGTGTTTTGTATACTTTTTTGTTTATTATTTTTTAATTAATAGTCATTGTGATAGTCAGGCATTTAAAAATATATCCACGTGTACGGTACGCGTTTGATTTATTTCATTTGATAAGAAATCGGTGCACTTTCTATTATTGATAATTTATGAATCCTCGGCACAACTTCCTTTAACAAGTCATCTGATTTTTATTTTTACCAATTTATGGAATCTGTCTGTATTACTTTTTTATTAATATTGTTTCTACGTGTATCTGCAAAAATTGTCGATCATTACCATACCTAATGTATTATATATGAGTTTAAGTGAATTTTGTGTTAATGATAATTTTTATCCCACAGTCTTTCATGTTGATCGATGTTTTCGACACTTTTTCTTTTAGATAATACTTGAAGATTATACATTTTTTTAATGAGTTATAAATTTTATATTCAATTTAAAAGCATATTATTTTGATACTTCGGATATATACATCGACACAATTAAATTTTCTCACTTTCTGATGCTGTATATTTATCGTTATATTTTCAATGTGAAAAGCAAAAACAAACATAATAGAAAAATATATCATAAAAAGAATTCCATACTAATAATAATGATATTTGAATAGTGTAACGAAATACGCGTAAAAATATGTAGTTAAAATTATTGATTATAATCGTTAATTTAAGTTATCCAAAGGGAATATTGATTTATTATTTAAATGAAAAGACGAAAAGACTAACATTTAATAATTAATACTTTTTTTTAATATTAATTCAATATTTTTCAATTATGGATAATAATTTAATTCGTAAATAATGTTTTCTTGTAGTCCATTGGAATGTATATGGAAGAAATTTGCAATATATAATTATTAAAAAAATTTCTAAAATTTATTTAAAAATTATTCATTAAAAGTAATCGTGAAGTTGTTGCTTGCAAAAATAATACATTGCTAGTGGCAATGCAGTAATAAATCGCTTTCTTTATCGTTTTTTTTCGCTCATTCATATCCACTAAACTCTCTCTCTCTCTCTCTCTCTCTCTCTCTCTCTCTCGCTCGTTAACTCACTTGCTCTCTCACTGACTGACTGACTGACTGACTGACTGACTGACTAGACTCATTCCCTCACTCACTTACTCACTCACCCATTACTCTTTCTTTTTCAGTTGCGCTCGTCTCACTTCCCTCCTTTACAATAAACTTTTATCTTCAACTTTTGTAATCGCGAGGAGCTCCCTTCATGTAAATAAATGAATGCATTAGCGTAGGAAATACGAATAGTTAAGGGAGAAATTCGACTTGGCCAGTGTTTTATTAGCTCATGGATGATGGCGACGAATCCACCATCCCTCTCCCACTTCGTCTCCACTTTCTCTTTCTCATATAGCATTCTCGTCTTACAGTCTGCATTATATCGTTTCATTTCGTGAGGGCGTCGTGCGTTTAAAGCTCCATCGAGCATCGGCAAGCATCGAGTACGGTCGTCTTCGCGTATCCAGAGACCAACATACACACGCACTTTTGACAGCTAAAAATACGGTCCTTCGAACTCTTACACCTCCCTTCTCCCCTCCGCCAAACCCCACCATACCCAACGTTCCAAACTCTCTCTCTCTCTCTCTCTCTCACGCGCGCTCTTTTAGTCTCCTCCGTGTTGCCATCCCGTCGTCTATTTCCGATTCAACGGAACTCGTTTAAAGCGGTTGTGACTCCCGAAGCGAGGTGACGAATCCTCCTCTCTCCCTCCCCCCGTGACAAATCGAGCCTCCCCTATCCTGCAGCAGGACGATCCTTGGAAAATAGTCGACGGCGCAGAAGGCTAAGGCGGCGCTATAAGCGCCTCGCTATCTAACAAGACAGATGACATAGGGGGCGAATCACGAGTCACGAGTTTCATCAGCACACGCAATCGCTCGGCCGTGGAAAACACAGCAGACGCCACTACGGGCTTTCAACCCTCTTCCGAGGAGTGCGTGCGCCTTTGTGGCGGTGATGCACGCGTTTGTTTGCCAACTACGAAATTCGCAGTGACTTTGGCGCAAGCGCACGCGCGTGCGTGTGTTCCACCAAGGCCACGGGTCGTAGTGCCGCGATAGTTGCAATGCGGATAAGGACCGGTGAGGACAGAGGAGGACGAATTCGTCGGCAAGAGGATTTTGCGTACGAGCTGGCCGGTGACGTCGGTCCAACGTGCGCGATCTGAGCGTCGAGACCTACCTTCCCCTCCCGCTACTCTCCCACCATTCCCCGCCCCAACGACCCACCCAGAGCGCTAGAACTGTCGGCATGCGTACGTGCGTGCGTGCGTGCGTGCGTGCGTGCGTGCGTGCTTGCGTGCGTGCGTGCGTGCGTGCGTGCGTGCGTACGTGCATGTTGCTTCACGGGAGCATGATCCGATCTTAACGTCAAAATAGAGCGCCGACGACAACGCATACGTAGAGGCTAATGCGACGCCCGACGTCGTGCCGCGGCGAGACGACGGATTCTCGAGCGATATCGGAACACCGCCGTGGCCGGGTCGTGTGAGCGAGACAGAGCTAGAGGGACGGGGAACCGGAGCGGACCTTTTAGGTTATGGAGTGCGTGCGCGCTATGGCATTACGATGCAGCAGCAAGAACTACGACTTGGTACTCCCGGGCGAAGGACGGCGGTGGTAGTTGCGACCAAGTGCTGATCGACAACGGTTGCGCATCGGGGATCGCGAGGATGGAAGCCGCATTGCCACGCTGACTCTCGTAACGACCGACACAGAGATATTCTTTGCAAACTACTCTAGACAAGAGAGCGTGATAGCGAGATAGCGAGAGAGCGAGATACCGTGATAGCGAGATAGCGAGATAGCGAGATAGCGAGAGACTCAAAGAGTGAGAGAAAGAGCGCGCGTGAGAGTGCGTAAGAGAGCGTGATAGTGTGGGGTGGGCGATTTAATAAAGGGTGTTGAGTGAAGAGAACGCGAGGGAGTGAGAAGGAGAGACGGTTGGTTTTTGCTAAGTTTGGCAAGTTGGGGACAAGGAAACATTACAATTTTATTCCAAGAACAAGCGCGCTCCCTTTCAGTGTTGGATTGACAAATAGTTTTCCTTAGCTTTCCAGTGAATTTTCGAGCCGTGCGATCCGATGTCGAAATATTTGAACCCAGACGAATGGCCCACTTTACATTAAAGGTCTCTTTCGACTACATTTTTTTTTTTTTCTCAAAGCCTTATCATATTTGCTTAAAGCTTTATGGAGAAAATTTTCCGATTGGACGGTCCAAGCAGATATTTATACTTTCCTTGACAAGTCAAATTATAATCGTTGAGTCGTGGTGTGTATCATAGTAAACATTTGATGTTGACAACGCTTAAGACGTGAGACAGTGACAGTGAAAACAATAAATTTTATTCGTTATTTATTTTTTTTTCTTCTCCTTTTCTCTCTCCTTTTTTTCTGATCCTTTTTATTTTGTTTTATTTTTGTTTTTGTTTTAACAGAATTATTAGGATATTCAAAATTATAATACATAATATGTAATATGGCGAACTAATTAAATATTAAATTATAAGTAGCGCGTTGCTCGCATCTTTATCGAGCATACCGATTGCAACTAATGAATCAGAAAGATTTTCAGAAATTTTTATCGAAAGATACTTGGAAAGAGCAATTAATCGTTATCTAAAAATATTTTACTCAAATAAAAATCCTATTAAGGAAGTCACAGATTACATTATCCCTTTAAATTATATTTATCAGTATCACTTATTTAACATTAACATAATGTTGCATACTTGAAATAATAGATTCTTTCTGTATTTGCATTTTTAATTCCAATTCGGATTACATCAGAATTGTAACTTAAATTAACAGTTTAATCGATTGTAATCTAATGTAATTTATTGAATTTAATAATATATATTATAAAATTGTTGTATTAATTTAATACTTAAAATGATTTAATCGATTAAACGTGTGTGCTTAATTGCGATTAGTTATAATAGTTACCTAACTTCATCTACCACATACTTCTGCGTTAACGTTAAATTTCCCTACGAAGTATTTACTAGTAAATTAAACATTTAATAATCGAATAAACAATAAATAAGCAAACGTCAAGCTTTGTAATTATAATGAATATTATTGTCAAACGATTAAGGAAAACAATGTTTAAGGAAGCTCTTATTAGTATATGATATGATGAAACATTAATATGAAATAAAAAATATGAAATATCAATTTAATGTATTCTTTATATACAACTTGTTTATGACTTGAAATAATGTTATTGCTGAATTATGTTTAATGTAATTGAATTTTGTTTCAGGTGATCAAAAATGGCACAACATTTTGTCACCATTTGTGTTGTTTGTGTGTTGTGTGCAGCACATATACCATGTTATGCTCACATGAATATTCTCCCAACTGTCAAGCAAAGAACTGAAAGTGTAAAATATTCTACAGAATCGTCCGATTATAGTGAATATTTATTTTCTCATTCGATTGGCTCTACCAAAATGCCTAAAAAAACAGAAGCCATTACAAAAGATTTCACAGAAATTAATAATAATGAAAATTTGTTTAACAAAGTGCCTGAAGAAAGGATTCAGAAGTCGCACTACGATCATAGATTAAAAGATAATTTAGAAAACAGTCGGGTACTTCAAGAATCCAGGCAGAAAGAATTATTGGATAGATTAGGACAAAATTATTTAGAATCACAGGAAAATGGAGATTTCAACGATAAAAATATGCAGAATTTACGGTCTAAAAGAAGTTTGGAATTGGATGAAAAGTACTTTACAAAAAAAATATTTGAACTTTATGGAGACGGTGAAAATATGACAATGGAAGGATTTGAAAAATTATTAAGAAAAATGGGACTGTTTCAGTCAGAGCCGAAAGTCAGTGAACAAGAAATCCACAGTATAGACAGTAATCAATCGGGAAATCGATTTGGTAAATAAATACTTTATTTATCGAACAATTAATTACTTATTTAAACGTTGAAATTAAAGTATTAATATTGTTTACGTTCAATACAACTGTCCGCAATAATATATAAATCCATGCTTTTTTAGTAAATACACAGGCACACGCGCGCGCGAATAATAAATTGTAAATTTTCATTTATTACAATGATATGTAAAACATATCAATTCTTTAATCTTAAATCTTTATTATAGTAAATCTATACATTCAAATGTTAAATGAATATTATTACATTAAATTTAAATATATATATATATATATATATATATAAATTAATTATTCAAATGCTATATTTCCAAAAAGAAAAAAAAACAAAGAAATAAATGTAATTCTAGTATTTGAATTAAGTTGTGCGCTCAATGCAACACTCACCAAATTTATGTCGTTAACAACAAATATTATTAAAATTATAATAATGTTCATAAGTATAAATATTATACTTACAATAATAGCAGATATTAATTTTGATAGCATATTTTAACATTTACATTGTTAAATCGACGAATGTAATGATACCGAGGATATAACAAATTTACTAAACATTCATAATTTATTTTCTGATTTACTAATTTCTGTACAAATATATCAGACGGTGATCTTATGTATACACCATGTAGACTTATTAAAGACAATTTTTTCATCAATTAAGCTTTGATATACGTGTGAACGGTGTGAGACACTGATAAAGGAATGCAATACTCAAATACTCCCTAGGTTGTATAGTGACTAATTGAGTTGATTTAATGATAGGAATATACCCGATTAATATTAAACCAATTTCATCCAATAGTTTCGCGGCGCTCGTGTGGACGCGCGTGCGTGCGTATCGGCTAAGTCTAAATTCTCGACAACAATTAACTTACCGTAACGCTAATCAATTTTATAAAACTTAAACATTAAATCGAAAGACATTTGCAAACATCAACTTACTAAAGCTATTGAAATTTCAATCAATATGTAAAATTATAAATACTTATAAAATTCAAGGTTGAAATTGACGAGCCTTTTTTATTCATTTTTTCTTGCTCATTTCTATTTATATAAAATGCTATTAATAAACACATCAACAATATCATTCTGCTTTGGATTAATTAATATGTCTTTTATTCTATGCCATTTTTAAATATGGGCAGACTCGATTCTTCAACTTCAAATTATTTAAATTGTACTTATAATTCAAAACAGATGCTGTAATTATAATGATTCAAGAATTAAATGAGACATTGATTCTTGGCATAGGACTTAGCTATGAAATCTGTGCGCTTATAAGTATCTGTAATATTATTTTGCGCGTTATTTTATTTATTTATTAATTTATATTATCATCTGTCTAAAGAATAATAGTATTGAACTAATGACTAAATGGCCGAATTAGATATTTGATCAAATAAAATTTGTATTTTACATTAAATTCCAGCTAATGTAAATGAATCGCAAAGCAATAACGATGATCGAGGCACCGATAAAACTTTGGACACCAAACAAAGGGTGAGTACGTTATTTTAAATTGCATACTTAAACATACATATAAAACAAATGCCGCATTATTTATATTATTAAATACTTGTATAAATAAAATGGTAATTTAATAATACTAATTTATTTTATTTTAACATTGTTGCGCTTATTTTCTACGTTTATTGGTTAGTCGTAGAATTTATTAAGATGTCTCGTCTTGTAAAATTTTGTTCCAACGAACGCCACAAACGAGGCAATTTTTTAATCGTTTAATGTCACTTGCTAAGATCGATAAGAGATATTTAGCACTCTCAATGGGATGCTTAAAGTATCATTTCTTCGATATAATTCATAACGGTTTATCAAACAATGTACGCATTAATCAATGTATTAATTAATAGAAAAATCATTTTTATGTTTCAGTGCCTGAACAGTAGGGAATTACTGAGCGTCTTATCTAACGACGTAACATACACGTCGTCGAGTAACAACAGCACGACATTACCTGTTTGGCTATTCGAACGCGTGTGCCCAGTACTTATTTATCAGCTAACTGCGGTATCTGCTGCGGAGAGAGGTGGATGCGTTTATGTCTCGGACAACTACAAGTCGTCCGAGATCGGCAGTTACGAAGAGGAAACGGCTCGCAATATGTTTCAAGGTATATGTTTAAGAAGCCTGAGAGCTTATCAGCCCTTCGATGCCAAGCCTTTCATTCTTACTTACGCACCGTGTATTTTTCATCATCCATAGTATGGATATATTCCACCGTGAGCATACTGGTTATCAGTTTGTGCGGTCTTCTGGGTGTTGCTGTGATACCAGTTATGGGCAAGAGTTACTATCATCAGCTTTTGCAATTTTTGGTTGCATTAGCCGTTGGTACTTTGTGTGGCGATGCTCTCATACATTTACTACCTCATGTAAGTTAATGCTAGTAGTAAGTAGTGCTAAAATAATTGAAAGTTCTTCTTTGTTATTCATTTTTTTTTTTTTTTTTTTTTTTTTTTTTTTTTTTTTTTTTTTTTTTTTTTTTTTTAATTGAGTAAAATATAGCTATATGAATATATATTTTAATTAATGTAAAAATTCTTTTCTCTTCTTTTTCTTTTAAAATTTATATTTTCAAAGCTCTTTAAAAAAGATTATTGAATGACGTTTGTCCGTGTCCTACTGTGAATTTTTGGATAATTTCGTAATTATACAAATATTACTTTTAGGCAATGATGTCGGAATCGCAACATAGTCATTCTCATGAAAATAGTCAATCGCATTTACCCGTAGATCATAGAGAAGATGAACATAATACAAATATGTGGAAGGGATTTGTCGCGGTAATAGGTTTAGTCATGTTTTTCTTTACTGAAAAAGCATTGAATATAATATCGGAATGGAGAAGGTACAATCAAAATCGCAGTCAAGTTAGTATTGTCATAAGCTTATTGTCTTTCATAATTAAAATTTTTAATTCTTACTCACAACATAATGTGTATTATTGTTTAAATCAATTATTATATGAATTGTAGATACCAGCACGAGTACGAGTAATGAGGGATTCGGATACAGGAAACAGTAACACCGTAGGGGAAAAGCTTTGCAAGCACAAATACTCAACCTATCCATATTGTTATGGAGAAATTGAAACGGAAATTCAAGGTAATTTGCATCGCGTTAAAAGTCACTTATATCAATATATTTATCATAAACGATTCATTATATTAATCAAGTAATTATTATTTTGTCCGGGAAGATAATCTTCGCAGTCATCAACATAATCATCACGAGAGGCCGCAGACTATCGAGGAGGAAAAACCTTTAACGTGTAATTCGACAAATTGTAACTCAGTTTCTAATAAAATTGTGCAAAATGATATCGAAAAGAAGAACAACGAAGAATGGAAACTTGATGACACTGTGATCACCGATATAAAGAAGACTGTTGATGGTGCTGATGTACCATTGAACGAAGTAGAAAATTATACTGTGATTATTAAAGATCATGATACTAAACATCACGGCCATGGACATTCACACAGTAATTTAACTTGTTTATTCAATCCTTTCTCCATTATATTTCGCTCATTATACATTGAATTTCATAAATGTAATTGTTTAATTTAGATCATGTACATTCTACGCCAGATTCAATGTCGAGTGTTGCATGGATGGTTGTAATGGGGGATGGCTTACATAATTTTACAGATGGTATGGCTATAGGCGCTGCCTTTTCAGCAAACATAGCGGGTGGATTCTCAACGACTATAGCGGTATTCTGCCATGAATTACCTCACGAATTAGGTAACGAATAAAGCGAATATCAACAGGCACGAAAATTTTAATTAATTGATCGATAGCATTCGCTAATCTTTCATCCCTAACTTAGGTGACTTTGCAGTTCTATTAAAAGCGGGTATGAGTGCCAAACAAGCTGTTTTTTATAATCTGTTATCCTCGGTACTTTGTATATTTGGTATGGTGTTTGGAGTATTACTTGGTGCTACACCCGCTGCCAGTAGTTGGATGTTTGCTGCAGCTGCTGGCATGTTTATTTACATAGCTCTTGTTGATATGGTACGTATATATATATATATATATATATAAACATAATTTAATCGACAAATTTTTTACATTACATCATCAACATATGCCATTTCCTTAGATATTAATCGTCTATGTGATATTAGGGTCCTGTCAAATTTTATCTTTTCCTTATTTTATTCGAATAACGCCAAGCTTTTAAATGAATCTTTACACGAATTAAAATACTAATTATACTCGATAATTATTATAATACAAAATCCGACCATCGTTAATGATAATGTGCTTAAGTAGATCATAGATGTATTTGGGGGTGTATTTGGACCTTCTATTATCCTGGATATTGAATATATTGAGTGGTTGCTCAGTCAATAATTCTTTTCAGAGCAATGTTCAGTTCTGGCAAATGTCGCGTATCTATCTCGCAGCACAATTTAGCTAGTCTTATTAAAAAAAAAAAAAAAAAAAAAAAAATTAAATAAAAATAATTAGACAAGACAATTAAAAACTCCCTATCCGTCTCTTAACGCAATTGATTTTATAGATTCCTGAACTATCTACGAATCATTCGGTAGCACACGGTGCTCATTGGCAGTGTCTTCTGCAAGCAGCTGGGCTGATATGTGGTTTTGGCATTATGTTAATCATCGCGCTCTATGAGCATGATCTGCAACACATATTCAGTAATTAAATCCAAGTATGACTTATCTACGGGACGAGACAGTACACAAAAAGTCACGGCGTCGATTGTGCGTAGCCAACGCGAATCCTAAGAGTTCAATTACAACAACAATAATAACAACAGAAACAAGTGTAAATTTGAGTTTTTATTTGAATGATAAGAATTTATTGTGTATCATCGAGTACATTTTACTTTCACTTACAAAAATACGTGTGATCACGACCCAAGTAATTGCATAGTATACACTCTAATGATTAAAGACAAAAAAAAAAAATAAGAAAAGAAAAGAAAAAAAAAGAAAGAAAAAACCCTATTGTACAAAGCTATGCAGCTCGCATTTTAAGCTTATCTAAATTATCTAAATTTTTAAGTGTATGAAATTTGGTAAGTTGCATTACAAGAAAAATTTGAATGGAAATATGTACAATCGTTTGTAAAATTATTTTAATTGAATATTTCATAATTAATAGAATAATGATTTTATTTGATCATTTGATAAAAATAAATTATTATTTTATGCGCACATAACTGATAGTAGTAGTAGTAGTTTTTTTTTTTTTTTTTTTGTTTTTTTTTTTTTTTTTAATTATATATTTCGAAAAAAAGAGGTACATTTTATTCATTCTCATTGTTTAATGTTATTTATTGATTATTGTACTTCCTCTTCGAAATAGTTATCATTTTTATATAAATGAAAACTAGAAATTAGATTTATATTGTAATAGATGCTGAATGGAATACGATAATTTGTTGCCAAAACTATTATCTTAATATTATTTTTCTATCGACAATCATTAAAATGACTGTAGAGAAAATTATTTTGATGGGGTTATTCTCGATCGTACCGTCGCATTTTTATTTAAGCGAATGATTCTATAGCAAAATTGAATTTTATTATTTCCTTATTTTTTATAACACAATACTATCATAGATTCGTAGAGAGTTTATCTAAAAATTTAATTAAAACACTCAAGGTCTTATTTTTAATAAAATTGTGATAAAAATTAAATCTTAAAATTCTACCTACGATAGTTATCTGTAATATTAGTAATTTTTTTAATTTGTTTTCGCTCATGAAATTAAATAATGAAAAGCATATCAGTTTTTATTAAATTACTATATAATATGAAAGCCTTACGATTCTAGTTACTAAAAATATAATTTTTGGAACAACGTATGTAAAATTGTCAATTCAGTCAATGAACGCCTTTTACAACTATTCTTAGAGTTTTATTAAATTTTAAAATTATTATATTGTACTTGACTTTTTATTATTATTAAAATATTGATAAGATAATATTAAAAATGGAAAGATATTTGATCAAGTATGACCTCTCAGAGACAAATGTGGGATCAAAAATTGAAAATGCACAAAAGTTTACCAGTTATTTATAGTAAAAACAAATTTATTTGCAGTATTGTACTTTCACTAATTAGATGTAGATGAAACCAAACTCTATTAAAAGGGGTTTGAATATTGTTCCTTTAATAATTATTAATAGCTCTCTAATAAATTGTGAAATTCAAATAAAATTACGAATATGAAATAAGGATTTTTAAAATGATACGTTGCATTACGACTATTTAATAGTAAATACAGTATTTTGAGAGTTATGGCACACTATTATGCATTTAATTGGAAACCCTCAGTTAGAGTTTTGAAAAAAAATGTACTTTAATTTACAAAAAATATATCATATTGTTAAAACACGTACTATAATAACCAAATATAAAGAAAAATATTTTTTCTTAGTTGTTGCGTTTGTACTTTGTATTGCTTTTAAGAAAATAGTTAACGAAGTTTTCAAGAAAACACGAATTTAATAATGGAACGAAGAGTATACTTTTTTAAGTGAATAATTATATAATTTATATTATATTAATATTTTGATATTCATGAGTATTAACGGAAACTTTGTAGCTATAAAATTGCTTATTCAATATTTTCAAATGAAGTCACCCAATGTTCCTGCAGGCCGTAACTTCCCGATGTGTTACGAAACATTATTATATAAAAATAATAAGTTTGCAAACTCGTGATTCTATTACTTTAACCAGTTAGCAATGTCTAATATATATATATATATATATATATATATATGACTTTAACAATGAATAACGATAAACCAAATCTGTTTATTGTCATGAAAAAGAAAAAGAAAGAAAAATAAGGAGAAAAAAGAGACAGAGAGAGAGAGAGAATTGTACAAACATATATACATATTTTCTTTATATTTAAAAGAATAAATCATGTCTATTTTATAACAAAAAGAAGAAAAAGAGCATGTACAACAACGTAAAGCATTTTTAAAAAGAATTCATTGATAAATTTAATTTTTTTAATATTTCTATTTCTAATTTTATCGGTTCATGACTTATATTATATTCGCATACACCGGTGTAATCGTAAGGAACTGCATTTTGTATAACGAACAGAATTTTAATATTCATATAAATTTCTAGAAACATTTTTTGACATTCTTTTATTTTAAAATAATGACTATTGGAATGATGCTCGCGTCGCTGAAAACAAAACAAAATAAATTGTATTTTACGGGGTGCTAATAAACGTATGATGTATTCTATTACAATTTCTTATTGTCTTTTTTATTTAAAAATAATACAATTTTCATTCATTTAAATAAGCTTGATCAAGAAATTAGTCAATGAATTAAGAAAGAAAGAAAAAAAAACAACATATTTTTATATAAAATTATGTAACAAATATACACATTGTATTATAATTATTTTAAGAAATAGATAAATTCTGATTTGATGAAATAAATTATGGTTTAATACTACAGTGAGCCTTAATTATGAGTTGTTTTGAAAATGAAGTAATCAACATTTGTACATTCATTGTCTCACATGTCACATGCATATACCGCTCTTTTTATTATTTTCATATTGATATAAGATCATCCCTATCGCTCATTTGTGCAGTGAGACTAAACGCTGTGTCTGTGCTCGCCTCGCTATTAATACTTTCATTAAAATTCGATTTCTTATTTACAACATCATTCATTTCACGCATTATGCCGGCCATGTCATCATCGGGATCAATCTCTTGATTATCACCAACAACGTCGATTTCTAAGCCTAAATTATTTATCATGTGGTCCTGAGTTTCTGGTTTTTCTTCTTTGAACTAGAATTGTATTATTTATATGAATTTAATCGAATTATTTGATATTTGATTCTTTACATAATATGTACAATTTTTTACCTTCATAGGTTTTAATTTTAATTCGTGCGGTAACCGAGAATGAAATACACAATTTGTATCAAAGATTACAGGTATTGGTTCATGACACTCCATGTCTGCTTCTACAGCTCCACACGCTTTAAATAGTACTTGATTTTGATCCTAAAATGATTTTATAATTTGAATTTCATAGGAATAACATAATTTTTATATCAAAATATATATTTATAGCAAAGTAACCTTTAGTATATGTTTGCGACAGTATTTGGACGAAGGTAAAGTTCGTTCTCCACATTTCACTCCACCTTCGGTAAATATACATTTCTGTACGCTTGGCGTTTTTTGTACGGAGCCTTCCGTTACTTGAGCACGTCTTTCCAATGACTTTTTATACAGAATAGCTTCTACCCCACTTCGCCTGTGATAACTATTTAAAGCCTTAAGCTTTGCATAAATTTTTTTTTCTTTAACCGTATCCTTGGCTTGGTCATGAATACTACCTACGTTACGTACGTATAAATACCATTTAATTAAAAAAAATATATAAATTCATTAATTGAACACATAATTACTTACATAAAGTTTCTTTTTCCTTCTTTAAAGCATGCAAATATTTTCTTCTTTTTTCCTTTAAAGTGTACTGCAACCTTTTGAATTGATCGATATACAGCGATTGTAACCTCATCAACTTTTCTCTAGTTATATAGACAACTTCTTCAGCTGTATATACCCCAGCGTGCCTTAAATAATTACAATTATTTTCTTAATCATTTTTAAATGCTAGTTATAATTTAAGTATAATAATAATAATAATAATAATAATAATTATTATTATTATTATTATTATTATTATTATTGGAGGCTATACAACTTTTAGTTTTTATGAATAAAAAAAAAACACTTGTGTTCTAAGAAAATTAGTTTTAATTTAATATTAACCTTCAAATTCTTCAAGATCCTAAAATTTTGAAATTACAATAAGCCTGTAGTACTGTATTCCTTAAATTTACATATAATGAAAGAGAAAATTTATTTTGTAAAAAGATTCATTTTAATTTTAATTTTATTATTAATGTTCAAATTACCTTAACGGATCCTCTTCTGAACTATGCAAGCTTTCGTTTTCACTATCATCGAGATAAACTCCTTTCACAGTATCACTAATCAATGTTGGTTCGACATCACTATTGGAAGAGCTGGCATAATCTAAAATATCTGGTCCTTTTGCATTTACTCTATATACATCAATTTCGGCTGAAATTTCAATAGACATCCATATAAAATATAGTAATTTTAACTAAATTATATGATTTGAAAGAATTATTTTAACGTAACGTCACATACTAAATGGATTTAAAATTTTCACTTTTCCATCTTCCAAGTTGTCTGTTTTTAAATTTTGATTTGTCGATTTCACATAATGTCCAAGACTCAATAAAAGGGTTTCTGGACTCTCCGCTAGAGAATGTTTTGACATAGACTTTGACCGTGCTATTTGAGCTTTTCTTGTATGTTCTGCACAATAGCTATTATTTCAAAAAAAAAAAAATATATATATATATATATATATATATATATATATCAGTAAATAAAGTATTACTTAAACAGCAATTATTGAAATGAAAATTTATTTGACATACGAAACTTCTCTTCGGTCTAATTTAGGAGCTGCATTTTGACATTTGCGTCCATTAACATTGTAAATAAAACAACATTGTTGAAAAGGAGCGCTCGGATCTTCTAATATGTGTCTTGAACAATATGAATACGTATCTAAACATGGTTGGTTGCACTCGTACGATGAGTAAGCACAGTAACGATTTTCTTTCGATTGCTTTCCAAAATTATTGACAGGTAAAGTGAGAATGGGCATTGTGGTTTTAGGAACTCGAAACATGACCTACCTAGTAATTGGGCATAAGTGTAACGAGTAGTAAATTAAAAATGTATAAACCAAGAGTAAAAAAAAAAAGAAAGAAAGAAAAATAAATAAGCGAATAAATATATATTTAATGTTATTACAAAATTTAAATAACGTAAAAAAATATTAGAGAGTATACTATAACTTTATACATTGCAATATTTTAACAATTTATATTATATAGGGTTTGTACGTAATAACTGTCATGTAAAAAATATTATTATAAATTTGGGTAAAACCTTTTTTTATTAAATTTCGAGACAATTTTCCCTTGAATGATAATTATTTTAGTACTTGTACGGTAAACAAAATTAAAACAACAAACTATAGAACTATTGAACATAAATAAATCAACGATTAAATTTAAATTCAAATTGAGCATTCCTTATAGTCTCAAAGATTTGATTAATTAAAGGTTAATTGACAATTTTATAAAGCCATTGTTTACACTTAAAAAGAAAGAAAAAAAGTAAAAGCAAATCTTGTGGGACTTTGACTATTTGGGCGTTCGCTTTACACTTTACGAAGACAACTTTTGCATAGACATGCAAAATGACAGTAGGGATTTTAAAATTGGCGCGTAAACGAGCGTGGCTACCAGTCGATCAAAACAGCTTCCAAAAGCTAAACGAAACGTGGGTCGTTTTTATGCGTAAACCAGTCTAATGGCAATTACGAAAATTCATTGCAGTTGAAAGTGTGAAAAAAGCATTTATCCTCGGGAGCGACTCGATGCTCGAAACCTGAATTTGACGGCGGCGGTGATGAGGGAGCCGCGGCCATTTTGCGCGATGCTTTGTGCGCGCTGTCGTTGATCGTCGTGGTTGCGCGTCGTCGAGGAGGCCCGTAGATTTATTAGCTGCGCGGCCAGACAATCCTCTTCCGCGCGATAAGCGCACGTAACCGCGAAAGAGACCAAAGACTCGCGCTCGCGCTACCTACGATGTACGTGCGACTTTATTCCGCAAAAAGGAAGGATCTTCGACGACACCCGTGTGAGTTCATCTCCCCGACACGTAAGCTCGCAGAATTTTGTCGCGCGTAATCCCCGCCCGAGCGAGAGAGCCTCTCTCTCTCTCTGTGTGTGTGTGTGTGTGTGTGTGTGTGTGTGACAAAGAGAGAGAGTGAGAGAGAGAGAGAGATAGAGAGAGATAGGTAGATAGAGCACGCGAATATGTGTATATGTGCACGCGAGAGGGAGGGAGAGAAAGCAAGAAAGAGAGAAAGAGAGAAATTAGCGACATTACAACAAATGCGTACCTCGTCTGGCGTGTAATATTATTGCTTTGTTTCGTATCGCTGGCTCCCTCCTTATCGTCCTTGCTGCCAGTGCGAAGGCCAATCGCCCTCCGCACCCTAGTGCGCCGATAAGGGAGAACAAGGTCCAAGGTCCCGACTTATCTGGCCGTCGGACAGAAACGCGCGCTCACGGCCAAGAAGCGCCAAGATCAGTTCCTCTACGTGGTACACATCGAAGTGCTGTGTTATAATATCGTGGGCTGTTGACTGCAGCGCACTCACGGATGCCTGTGTCCCATTAGCGAAGTACATTGTCGACATTCTTTTGTTACTTGAATTATATTAATTATTCCATTTTGACAACCGCTCGGCTCTTTTAACAACAATAATAACGTCGTCGATAACATGTGGTGACGTTCCATTGACAGCCGCTCCTCCATCCTTGAACAGTCAGGCGGACGAATAATTTTTTATTTTAACTTTTCGCTTGAAAGTAGAGCTGTCGAATGAATGTTTACGTCACCGCTTAGTATCTTGGCAGTTGTCGAGGGCCTGTTTGTTTTAACGGTGAAAGGAGTAGTCGGGAGGATCGGTGAGAGCAAAATTAAAGGTTCGTTAATTTGCAATGGAATTTGAAAAATCGGATATTTGGAAATATAGAAATTTAGAAATTAATCATAGGGTTGTAACTTGAGTTTTAACATTATCCTTTTCAAATTTATAGTCATAGTTGGATGGTTGTCGCATGAGAGAATAATATTTGAAGACAAAAATGGTAATAACGCGTTACAAAAACTCTTCTGCTTTGCATTTTATAATGCTTTGATGATGAATAATAGTTTGTTGTAAAGTCACGCTTAAAGAAATATAAAGAGTAATATTAATATGAAATTTATTATACGAGATATTGCGATATAATATTCATTACGGAATATTTCATATGCAAGAAAATATATAATACGTTAAAATTAATTAAATTTTCACGATCGAGCTTCGTATTTTCTCTTTTCTTTCTCTTTATTTATATATATATATATATATATATATATATATATATATATTTTATTTTTAAAACTAAATCGATAAAAAATATGAAAATTAATATTACAAATAGTTAACAGCAAAAAATTAATATGAAAAGTCCCCATTTTCTCAAATAAAATTCGAATTTATATTACTACAATTGTAATAAAAATTTGCAATAAAATATATAGAAATAACCTGTTTTCATGGACTTTTGGTAAATAAATCGTCTAGTGACCGAGAATAAGATAAATAAAAGTATCATTAAATAAATAAGCATTTCATATGTATATTTATTCGTCTTTACATAGCAGAAAATTAAAATTCTGTAGAACTTCCTAAATTGTAATTACGATTAAATAAATTTTTTTATTGCCATTACCATGATAATTTCACGCTTTTATGAATTAATTAATTTTTTTTCAATTGTTCTTTTCGTTTTTGTGTTTTTAATCTAAAATTTCGCCCCAATATGGAAAAATACCAATAATAAGTGATTTTAGATGAAATTATGTAACATTATGATTGTATTCTTTTGACATAAATTTGATTTCAATGCATACAATCATAAACAATAGCTACACTTGTGGGGCAATTCTACTGAATTATAAACTCCATTAATATTAGACGTGAATAATGTATCTTTATTATTAACTATATTGTACTAGGAAATACATAAGACAGAAATATTATTAATGCCCTAAGAAGGTTGAAAAAGCAATTAAATTAATTAGCGTTATAATAAATTTAAATGGTAATAAAAATTGGGAGTTTGGCACTCCCCATAACATGTGCTGATGAGCAATGGCTTAATGCATGTGAGTCATTTAAAATCCCAATTTCTAAGAATTAATCGAACGGTGCAACTGGTATCGATATTAAAAGCACTTAAATGGCAGTTTATATCAATTGCAGGTAGATAAAATCTAATAACATTAGCTAAATTTTACTAAAACTGATATTGTTTGAAAAATATTCTTATTAAAATAAAATTTTTATTTAAAAATTTATTAAAATTATAATCGAAATTTATTTTATCATTAATTATAAATAAACTTTATGCTATTAATTTAATGGAAATATTGCACGTAAGAATATGATCAATAATCAGTATTGAATCCACTGGATAAATGCCATTAATTCTATATAAATATATAACATTCTATATAATTAAGAAAAAAAAAAAAACAAAAACAAAAAAAACAACAAAATATTGGTATAGTATAATCCATGTAATAAGTGAACAATACTAGCGTTCGAAATTATATTCCTTTATTTTTTATAAGAAAACACTTTAATTCCACGATAATTAACGAATACATAGAAATCACATTTTTTATTTTTTTTTTTGCGTTTTAGAAAGATATACTTTTACTAAAATACCACGAACAAACTTTACATATATCTGTATAAAATAAAATATTTTGTAGATATTTGAAAGATTTTATTCAGCAAGTTAATTGCAAAAAATTAAGGAGAATGTAGTTATTTTTATTTACATGGGATTATTCGTGATTAATTATTTCTTTTGCCTTTATTTTATTTCTAATGAAAATCTAAGGCTTAATATAATATGCATTTGGTACTTAATATCTATAATCCTTTTATTGGATTTTGTACCCAGCCTTTTTTGACTTGAATAATCAATGTATTTCCATTATGGGATAACCATAATCTATGGCAACCAGGTGTCAAATATTTATTTTACCATTTGTAATGAAAGGCATGAAATAAAATTTATTTTAAAATATCAATTCCTTTTTTAATATTATACATATAATTTATTATAAATGGACAATGTAGTTAATAGAATTATTATGTTTTCATACGATTAAAACATTAATAAACGTATATAAACATTTTTTTTTATTCTATTTAAAAGATGAATGAATTAAAATATTTTTTACGTTAATTATTACGATTTAAAGGTTATTGTGACTTTAATGAAAAGAGTTCAAAATTAATTATTGCTAGGTAAGAAAAAAATATTTTCACTTTTACATTTTTTGCCCCTCGATTAATTCAAACGTTTAACTCTCGCTCGAATTTCCCATGTCTATAAGTCTTTTTTTGGCCCCGTTTATCATTTTCTATCATGACAAAGCACTCGACATTTTTATACTTTATACGTAAGATCTTTGAATTCGTGAGCTTTGCGCGTGCGTACAATGCACGTATGAGACCTATGGTATTGCGTTTGTGATTTTTTTTTGTCGTCCATTATCATCTAACGAAACAGGAGAATCGTATTATTTTATCTGGTGTCGTGAGAAATGGAGATAGAGAGAAGCACGTGAACAAAACGAGGTTTTTGTCTTCCACCATGTCAAATACATTTTTTTCGCTATTTATTTATATTTTTGATGGAGATTTTTACAATATGCCATTGTGCGTGACGTTTACTGATTGGTGTTTCTTTGGTTATGTCGACCCGCGCTAAGCTGACGCATTACTTTGCAATATCGTAAAATTCTTACTTTCTACGTTCTATGTACGTTAGTGATGATAAAAATATGAAAGAGAAGAAAAGTTTTTGTTAATGTTCGCGGGAGAAAACAATTGTACCTAGAGAGCTCTCAAATCAATAAACTGCGAGGAAGATAT